CCGGGAGCTCCTACTCAATGCTGTTAGTGCCGATTACAAAGCTGGCGCTCGCAGGGGCACATAGCGGGCCGGCCCATTTGTTCTTTTCTTTCTTTTAGAAACGGCAAAAAGGTGCGCAGGGAGCAAGATTCAAACTCGGACCTCATGCTTCATAGAGCAGTGCACCAACCACTACGCAATCAAATGACTTGTGCCAACAAACTTTGCTTGCTTTCTTTTATTCTTTCTGCAGCTTGCAAAGCCCCCAAACCTGTTTTTTTCTTTCTCTTTTTCTGTAACGGTTTTGTTCGCCTTTTTTTTCCAAAATGCGTGCACTTTTCTAAAAAATCAAAGAAACTTTTCTTCAAAATGCAGGAACTTTTTAAAATTTGAAAAAAGTTCATTGTTTTTTTAAAGTTCATCAAATTTGAAGAAAGTTCATTGAATCTGAAAAAAAGTTCATCGAGTTTGAGAAAAGTTCATCATAATTGGAAAATGTTCATTGAATTTGAGAAAAGTTCAGCTCATTAGAAAAAAGTTCAGCTGATTAGAAAAAAGTTCATCATTTGTTTAAAGTTCATGGAAATTGAAAAAAGTAAATTGGATTTGGAAAAAAGTTCTTGAATCTGAATTTTTTTCATCAAATTTGAAAAAAGTTCACCAATTTTGAGAAAAGTTAAGTTCAATGGATTTGGAAAAAGGTTCATCAAATTTAAAAAGAAAAAGGGGAAAAAGAAAAAAAAGAAAAAAAACAAAGAAAAATGTATGAAGAAAAAACCACGAGCTGAAGAAATGAATAAAAAATTAAAAAATATCTATTTCACAACAGGTCCGATAGTCCGATAGCCTACTGGTTTGTGCACTTCCCAACACAGAGGTTGCGGGATCGAATCTTATCTCTGCTCATTTTTTGTTGGGAGTTTGACGAAATATAGTGTTATATGGGCTGGCCCAGGTAAGAGGCGCCAGTTAACAGAATGCACGTTAACAGACGTTGAAGGCACCGAATAGGAAATGTCGGGAGCTCCTATAGGGCGCCCTCTACGCCGCGGAACCAACTGGCGCGCACTGTAAGGCTCAGTTGGGCCGGCCCGTAAAATGCGACCGCAGCAACTTACAACATGGAAAAAAGCACATAAAAATAGGCTATGTTCAGGATTTGAGCTCGCACCAATGGATTCCCGTAAAAGTTTGCTAACCACTCGGGCTACATAATACTGTAGCACTTACTGATAACAGCGCCAAATACTGTAAGAACTGTTGTCGACGCGCTATTTATACTGTACCTCTCAGATTTTGGAATTATTTTTAAAAAACCTGAATTTAGAAAAGTTCATCGATTTGGAAAAGAGTTCATCAGTTTTCAATAAAAATTTCACAATTGAAAAAAGTTTTTTGAAAAAAGATCATCAATTTTGAAAAAAGTTCACTCGATTTTGGAAAAAGTTCATCTGTTTTAAAAAAAAGTTCATTGATTTTGTAAAAAAATCACTGGTTTTAAAAAAGTCCAATCAATTTTGAATAAAAATCATTGATTTTGCAAAAAGTATGTCTGATTTTGAAAAAAACTCATTGATTTTGAACAAGTGTTCATCGATTTTAAAAAAAAGTTCATTGATTTTGAAAAAGAGTTTGTCGATTTTTTAAAAAGTTCATCAATTTTGATAAAAGTTCATTGATTTTGAAAAAGTTCATTTAATTGAGAAAAATTAAAAAAGAAACAAAACCAGAAAAAAAAGAACAAGACCGTTCAAATAAAAAAGGAACAAGAAAAAATAAAAAAAAGAAAAAGAAGAAGGGAAAAGATTGAACTGAAGGCATCAGGTGTGGGTGGTGATGTGGTTGGCGCAACTACTATAAGAGCAGGAGGGTGACGGTTCAAAACTCATTCTTCATGCAGTGCGCCCGTTTGCGTAAGGTGAAGAAACAGGTGCCATTTAGGATTTGCCGGAAATGCCATCACCTCCTGCTCTTTCTATTTATTTTTTTGAGAGAAATCTCGAAATCATTAATTAAGGAGTACTCGTTGTAAAGAACACTTTACTTTCCCTGGTCGCGACAAGTGGTGCACATGCAGCACGCCACTTGTCACAACCTGGGAGTTTTCCCTTTTTCGTAAATCTGTTTATTCAAAACGTTTTATCTCTTAAACCGTGCATCCAAATCTCGAACCGTTTTCATCATTGGATTCCTCGCGTCGAGATCTTTAAAATTAGATCCTATGTTGATAGGTTTTGACGAACTTTTTTTTTCATGAAAAAATCGGACGAAAAAACCGAACCGGAAGCATAATTTTTTTTTCTTTCAGAAAGAGGCACGCCCGTGCCTCTTGTGAAATCACAACCGTGCCTCTAGTGAAAGCAAAACCGTGACTCTCGTGGAAGAAAAAAAACAGAAAACACATTTTTTTGTTTCCGAGAGGCACGGCTGTGACTCTCGCGAAGGCACAACCGTGACTCGCGAAAGCGAAACCGTGACTCTCGCGAAAGAAAAAAAAAGAAAACGCGTATTTTTTCCACTTTCCTAGAGGCACGGCCGTGACTTTCGCGAAAGCACAAGCGTGCCTCTCGCGGAAGCAAAACCGTGACTCTCACGAAAGAAAAGAAATAGAAAACATGTTTTGTTTTTCCCTTTCCTAGAGGCATGGTCGTGACTTTCGTGAAAGTACAACCGTACCTCTCGCGGAAGCAAAACCATAACTCTCACGAAAGAAAAAAAACAAAAAACGCGTTTTGTTTTCCCTTTTTCCGAGAGGCACGGCCGTGACTCTCGCGGAAGCAAAACCGTGACTCTCGCGAAAAAAAACAGAAAATACGTTTTTTCGTTTCCGAAAGGCACGACCGTGACTCTCGCTAAAGCACAACCGTGCCTCTCGCGGAAGAAAAACCGTGACTTTCGCGAAAGGAAAATAAAAGAAAGCGCGTTTTTCGCGCAATTTTTTTTTAAAAAAAATTGATCGAAAAGCTAAGAAAGACAGGGAGGAAACCAAAACGTCGAAAAAATCCGAAAAAGCCGTTTAAAAAGCCAAAAACACGTGCGAAAAAATAAAAAAAAATAAAAAAAGCGTCCAGAGCGCGACACGTGGCGAATGACTGAGAGCGCGCTAATTGAAGCTGATCGTTGCGAGGCTTCCGAAGGAGCGCTCGTTAACTAGCTGCTCCCGAGAAACCTCCTGCTCTCTCTAAAGAATTAGAGTTGCGAGGCTCGCATTTATTTTTTGGCCCGACGGCAGCAGGCCTCTGCCTGGCCCAGCGAGGCTAATAATGGGCCGACTGCGCCTCGCCCGGTGAATAGGCCACTCGGCGGAAAGTGAAGTAGAAAAACCACGGAAAGAGAAAGGTCGCGTTCTCCCCAAGGTCAGTCAGCTCTTTGTGACATCTCGAGTATCGACTGCTTCTTCCTCCGCCGAGAAGGGAAGGGGAGCGCCGCCTGGAATCACCGGAGCCGGACGCCAGCAGCGATTTCTCCGACGGCCGCCTGCAGGCGGTAACTGAGTAAGCTCCCCCTCCTCCTCTTCACCCCTTAGCCCCAATTCTTCCTACTGGACGGGAATCATGAGCTTCCAGAGGTCAGATCCAACCGGACTCTCACCTCTTGGCAGGCAAGCCTTGGTTGGAAATCGATCGATTGATCTATCTCACCTTCATTGTATGATTCCAGAGCATAAGTGAAGATAATTGATGAGTAATTTGTACGGTTCCACCATGTCCTCCCCTTTGTATGCGCCCGTGGAATAAACACCCATCTAGCCTTGTTGTTTGCTCGACCATCTAAACAACCATGTCCTGATAGAAATTTGGCGTCCTGTGACATCACAGGATCTCAAAAGCTCACACCCATCAACGCGACGCATGCTTGTGTGGATAGTCTAAGAGATCAATTGACACTTCGGAATTTTTTCTCTGCAGGAAGCTCTGTACAATCTGCTATTGCTCCTCTGCTGATAGAAGATGGTGGGGCTGAGTTGGACAAGGGCTTGTGTCTTGGCCCTCTGCATCATGCTGTTCTTGCACCCGGCTGCGGCTATCCGCTTTGTGATTGATAGGGAGGAGTGTTTCTCGCATAACGTGGAATATGAGGGGGATACTGTTCATGTATCCTTTGTGGTGATCAAGGCTGACACTCCGTGGCATTATAGCGAGGATGGGGTGGATCTTGTGGTAAGGACCTAACCCCTTTTTCTATATCTATGTAAATCACGCAAGAATAAGTATCATCCAATGGTTACTTAGATGCTTGATGCATTATTGGGTATCAAAGGGAGGCACAGTCTACTAGAATGTTTGTTCTGCTGGTATAGTATCACAACTATTTTGTCATTTATTTTGTGTGAATTCATGCTATACTTTATACTCAAGAGACGCGGACAAAAAACTAGTAATATTATCTTAAGTATATGTTGTGTTGGTATTTGAAGTACTACATAATTTTTTTGATTTCAAACCAGTTTTGATTCTTTTAGTCATTCATGTATAATTTGTAAGTTTTGAACACCTTTAAGTCTTTAACATGTAGGATTTCTTGAATTAAGATGCAGACTACTAACTATGGCAACCATTACAAATAATGAAGGAATAAGGTGTGAGGAAGAACTAATTGTTCAACGAAAACATGCACGGCATTATTTATAAGGTGTCCCACCTTGGACTCTTAGGCGGTAATTTTGCTCGCATTAGGTGCTTAGGCAGGCGCCCTGGGTGTTAGGGCGGTTTGTGCTCGCCTTAGGTTGCTTTACCGCCTTATAAACAATGATGCACGAAACTAAGTTATGTTAGAAGGGTTTTATCACAGGGAATGGATATAACAGATATTAAGATATTGATGGCCCATTGGTTGGATGGTACTCCCTCCATCCGGAATTACTTGTCGCTTAAATGGATGTATCTAGCACTAAAATACGTCTAGATACATCCGTTTGACCGACAAGTAGTTCCGGACTGAGGAAGTAATTATTAACATCATGATTGGTCTAGTGATTGGGTGGAAATTAACATTATCGTGGTATGGGGCTTACAACTTGAGCCATGATCCTGTGGAATTTGAAACCCTACATTATACAGAGGGAGTACTTGATAGTGCACTTGCTCTCAGAAATATGGACCAAGGGAGCTAATAGTTTTATTTTTTATTTTCCTCAAACAAACATTATGCAACACCCCTATACTGGCTACCGGTTATAAGGCCACTACGTCTGGCTACCACGTGAGAACTAGACTGGCCCCACGGACCAACACCAACGCTAGTTTTTCCTGCGCACTTTGTCCTCACTCATGCACACCTGGGATCAACCTCCCAATAGGCCACCCATTCTCAAATTGCTTCAAGCCGAGCGCGCTTAACTTTGAGGTTCCTTGCAGATGGGCTCCTGGAAAAAGAAGAGTTTCGTGTTGATATGAGTAGCCTATTAATCCTATTAACCTGGATGTTTTAGGCACATAGAAGATACAAGTCGTTCAGTATTGTATTCATTGTCACATAATTTATAAAGATATTATTTGGATTGTGACAATTTTAACTTTAATTTGTACTCTCTCCTATCCATATTAACTGTCGCTGATTTAGTACAACAATTAATATGGGCCGGAGGGAATACTTTTTTTTACTTCCGGGCATCCTTGCTTTTATTTGCTAATAACTAAGAACAGTGGAGCATAGCTTTATTTTGTTGGGATAAATTTACTTATGTGATTTACTAAAAAAAAGTGGAATGTCATTGCTTCCATTGGCTAGAGTAGTTCCGAGTAGATGGCCTTTTGAATAAATAAGTTAAAGTAGTTCTGCTTGGGATTGTTTTGCTCATTTTTTGTGTGCTCTTGGTCTTCCTATATATGAGTGCATCCTAGAACGAATACAATACAATTTGCTACGATATTTCCCTGTTATCTCCCTGTTTATGCAACTGCATCACTCCTTTTGTGGTCAGTAATTTATTAAGGATGATTCTAACTTGTACTGTGCTGCAACTTGAATTAGAGCACCTTGTAACATTCACTGTCAATGTACTTCTTAAGTTTTAGTATAACCCACTGTTAAGTTTGTTCCATGTTGACTAATAACAGGTTAAAGATCCTAATGGAGCTCAAGTCCGTGACTCTCGTGACAAAATTAGTGACAAATTTGAGTTCATAGTTCAGAAGAGAGGTGTCCATCGCTTCTGCTTCACCAATAAATCCCCATATCACGAAACCATAGACTTTGATGTGCATGTTGGACATTATTCATATTTTGACCAGCATGCGAAAGATGGTAAGAATTTCTGAAATCTCCGCAACTTTGGGTAAGCAAGAACATGGTGTCACTCTTGTCTTTTCCTGGAATGGATGCAGAACATTTTTCACCGTTGTTCGAACAAATTGCTAAGTTGGATGAAGCACTTTACAACATTCAGTTTGAGCAGCACTGGCTGGAGGCCCAAACCGACCGGCAAGCAATATGTGAGTATCCTCTATTATTCATTTGTTTTGAGAATCCTACTATTCAAATCTTACTACTAGTGTTCTTGTCCTTTGTACTACAAGAAATACACTGGTTATTTGGCTTAAAATACTAGCATTCACCAGCTTGTTCACTGGTAGTGATATCAGTTGTTAATAGTTTATTTATTTATAACCTAAATGAGGATGTCATGTATGTCACCCCTGCGTTCGAGAGGAGCATGATGCCAGTTTTGGCAGTTCTTGGTGCCGGTGCCCTGATAGACTTCACTCTAGCAGCCTGCAAGTTGAATTTCTCGTAAATTTAACCTGCAGTCCAGCAGAATAATTAGTAATAACCTAATCTTACCTAAATGAGGATGGCGTGTTTCTACCCCCTCCGTAGGAGAGGAGCATTATGCCAGTTTTTGGCAGTTCTTGGTGCTGGATGCCCAGGTAGACTTTACTCCAGCAGCCCACAAGTTGGACTGATCTAAATTTTAACCTGTAGTCCAAGTCCACCAGAACAAGTTAGGATTCGCCAGTGTTTGCGGAAGGCTGTCTGCAATTTGAATTTGTTATAACTCTGGTGGGTGCAACACAGGCTAGCCAAGTACTACCATGGTTTGTCGAGAAATCTTTTGATAACTAGAACTTCAGTGTATGAGCTTATGCCAGCTGTCCAAGCAGCCAGTGGATTGCACTCTTCTCACAATCTTTATAATCTAAATCCCTTTGTCATCTAACCACGTCTTTGCTGCTGTGGTGCAGTGAACGAGAATATGAGCAGGAGGGCCATCCACAAGGCGCTTTTCGAGTCGGCTGTGCTCATCGCAGCCAGCGTCATTCAAGTCTACCTGTTGCGCCGACTCTTCGAGCGCAAGCTGGGGACATCTAGGGTCTAATGCTCCGTCAGAAAGCGGTGCCTTGTTGCCCCCTCGAAACTGTAACACTGAACTGTGTGCCATCACTTGTTTGTGGATTCTTGTTTTACATATGTATAATCCTTTGTGACTCCATATATGAGTTCTTCGAAAATGACACTTCACAGTTCCATGTAGTACTGACTGATATCCATATTCGCCATTTCGCCAGCATTTTCTGTTTTCCCCTGACCACTTTTCGCCCTGACTGGGCCGAAGCTTCGCAAAGCTGATTTTCATCGAGATGGCATGTTCCGAAGTTGTACTGGTAGAAACGATAGAAGACGCCTGACCTTGCGAAAGCGAGGCGTTGTTTCCTGAATTTAGGCGTGGCTTCCTTTTCTGAAGAACGAGTCGCAGGCGGATGGGCCTCGCCGTCACAGTAGCCATAAGAGGAAGAGGAATTGAAGGCGGTTTGCCGCCCCCAGTCCTGTCTGTCACTCCCTTTGCCTTGAATGAAAATATGGATGGATCGGGCCACTTGCGTTCATGCACTTGGGGCTTTCCGTGCGGCGCCAACGCACCAGCTGCTGAGCGCCCAACCAACGGAGACGGCAGCTGAAATCAGTTACTCATCGATCCCTACACGCCAGCTGCAGAAAGGGGCATTTCTCGTATGATCCCTCCCAGGTTCCCTGTGATTCTATCTCGATCTACATATACTCTACATACAGAAGAAACGCGCTCGTATGATCCCTCCAAGGCATCCCTCATCATGCTTGTTTCATGGACAATTTGGAATGAGCGAAACGTGCGAGTTTTCAGGCATTAGTGTGTCCCTCCGACAGTGCTGCTTTCCTCCATCGCCACCAAGGCTAACCTCTGGATCACCGCCGGTATAAAAAATTAGGGTCTTTGTTATTGCGCGAGTAATCCGTATGCCGTGTACTCGGATCGTTTGTAACTTTTTTTTGAGCGTCGTTTGTAACTAATTTTATTCTCTCTTATTTAATGGATGAAGCAAAGTTTTTGCCTCTGTTAAAAAAAACATACAGAAGAAAAAAGAAGGTGCACCGTGCAAAAAGAAAAAGAAAAGAACCTGAAATCGTCCGCGCCACATCATCTACGTGATCGCTGTCGCAGGGTGCCTTGCCTGAGATGCAGTCGTGTGGGAGAGGGATGCAAAGGAGATTTGACTTACTTTAATATTACAAGCAAATGATGGTTATCCGTAACTAGCAGTAGTACAGTAGTATTCGGATGAAAGCAATGGTCCAGTCCAGTGTAAATGCTGTGAGTAGCTGTTTGGTGCGTGTGAGCATCTAGTCTAGAGAAGATGCCCGCAATGAATTCCGGAAAGCCGCAGGCAGCAGCAGAAGATGGGAGCGTGTGTACCAGTGTGCACCACTCCTATACTACTACTCCAGTAGCTGCTGGCACACATGCGATGCATGAGTACACATCAATACCGGAGGTACCAGTAATAAACGGCTGGTACTAAGGCTGGTCATAATGAGAAGTAACTTATACTAGTATCATGCATACAACATTAGTCTAAGTTACTGTCTTTATAGTGTAAAATAACATAATAGTAGTGTCATTGATGACTTCATTTATTACCTTATAGACTCTTACTTTCTCGGGAAGCGCTATGTTACAGTAACATATTATGTTACTAAACACATCTCTCCTCATTAACTACATGCCACATAAACAAAAATTTCTTGAAGTGCGTTATGTTACTACTCCTTTTATTCCATAATGTAGTGCTTCCTCTATTCCCGTGCTTCAACTTTAACTGTAAATTTAACTACCAAGACCGATTGCGGCGGGAGCAAAAATTATACTCCATCCGGTCCTTTTTACTTTGCATATTAGAATTCTTTGAAGTCAAACTCCACAAAGTTTGGCCGTATTTATATGCAAAAAATATCAACATCTGCCATGCTAAAGTTATACAATATGAAACTTTAAGTCATGACACATCTATTGGTATTGATTTCAGATTGTGAATGTTGGTATTTTTTTCTACAAAGTTGGTCAAACTTTACGAGGCTTGATTTCAGTCAAATCTTATATGCGAACTAAAAAGGACCGGAGGAAGTATCAGTGAATTCGTATTCGAAAGAAATTTTCAATTATATTTTTTTTTTCTTCCGCCACAGTTAGTTTCGTTGGTTAAATTTATGGTTAAAGTTAGACCTCGGGAAGCGCGGGCGCACTATATTTTGGAATGGAGGGAGTACCTAAGTTACTCCCAATATGACTAGCCTTAGAGGGTGTTTGGATCCAAGAGACTTATTTTAGTCTGACTAAAAATAGTCTGTTAAGAAGCTAAAGTTCCAAGCACCCGTGACTAAAGAGGGGCTAAAACTAGTCTTGAGACTAAATTTTTTTAGTCAGGGGTACCCCTACTAAAATGTGGATTAATCCTCTCCCTCCTCATTTAACTCCTTTTTTTAACACAGACGAGTTCTGAATTGGAGGCTTTGGAGGATAATAAATGGTCATTAATTTGATTTTTGTCTCTTTAGTATTTGGATCCAAGCATGGGTGAAGCTAGCAAGTTTTAGTCCCACTACTTTTAGTCATGAGACTAAAATGTATCCAAGCACCCTCTAAGTTACTATCTTCATAGTGCAAAGTAACATATTAGTAGTGTCATCGATGACTTCATTTATTACCTTATAGACTCATACTTTCTCGGGAAGTGCTATGTTACAGTAACATATTATGTTACTCTAAACACCTCTCTCCTCATTAACTATATGCCACATAAGCAAAAATTTCTCGAAGTGCGCTATGTTACTACTCCCTCCATTCCACAATGTAGTGCTTCCTCTATCCCCGTGCTTCAACTTTGACTGTAAATTTAACTACCAAGACCGATTGCGGCGGGAGCAAAAATTATACTCCATCCGGTCCTTTTTACTCTGCATATTAAAATTCTCTGAAGTCAAACTTCACAAAGTTTGGTCATATTTATATGAAAAAATATCAACATCTGCCATGCTAAAGTTATACAATATGAAATTTTAAGTCATGACACATCTATTGGTATTGATTTCAGATTGTGAATGTTGGTATTTTTTCTATAAAGTTGGTCAAACTTTACGAGGCTTGACTTCAGTCAAATCTTATATGCAAAGTAAAAAGGACCAAAGGGAGTATCAATGAATTCGTATTCGAAAGAAGTTTTCAATTATATAATTTTTTCCTTCCGCTGCAGTTGGTCTCGTTGGTTAAATTTATGGTCAAAGTTTGACCTCGGAAAGCGCGGGCGCACTATATTTTGAAATGAATGGAGTACCTAAATTACTCCCAATATGACTAGCCTTAGAGGGTGCTTGGATCCAAGGGACTTATTTTAGTCTGACTAAAAATAGTCTTTTTATAAGAGGCTAAAGTTCCAAGTACCCCCGACTAAAGAGAGGCTAAAACTAGTCTTGAGAATAAATTATTTTAGTCAGGGATTAGTCCTCTCTCTCCTCATTTAACTTCTCTCCTTTAACACATGCAAGTTCTGGATTAGAGGGTTTAGAGGATAATAAATACTCATTAATTGGATTTTAATCTCTTTAGTATTTGGATCCAAGCATGGGTGAGGCTAGCAAATTTTAGTCCCACTATTTTTAGTCATGAGATTAAAACGTATACAAGAACCCTCTTACCCTAAACACCTCTCTCCTTATTAACTATATGTCACATAAGCAAAAATTTATTAAAATGTGCTATTTTACTACCTAAGTTACTTCACTATGACTAGCCTAATAGTCTTCTAGCGCCAGACGAAGTCGACAACTTCTACAACTCTGGTCCGTCCCGTCCCGTCCACCTAATGAATGAATGAACGGATAACACAACCGAGCACAGCCTGTGCCGCTGGCCAGTACCCGTAATGGTACCAGTACAATTTGGAGGATACGCACAACGTACGTACGTGCGTCCCCCTGCATGTATACTTCGTTTTATTTACTCATAAGTCTCATACGTATGCAAGGCGCCAAAGCCTTTGGAGTTTGGACCTCCGGGCGCACGCATTGCTTGGCCACGACGGACGTGCGGCTGTGGGTTGGAGAGTGCGATCGGTTTAAAACTCTCAACCGTTCAAGCGATGAGCGGCGGAGTTGTCCGACCTCCCAACGGCAACGGCGGGCGACGGCAGGCATGGCGTGCGGAACCAGCGCGGCGCGGCGCACGCCGAAATGGCCGTGACCCAAACCGGCGCACCCACCCATGCCATGCATTCAAGGCAGATTCGATGGAACGGGCCAAGGAATTGCCGACGGACCACTCATGCTGCGAGCGAGCGAGCGCCTTCAAATTGGACATGCTCTTGTGTTCCCCCGTAAATCATAAATCATCCCGATGGTGCGTACATTCCCAGTATGAGATAGTTTCCCTTAAAAAAAAGTACCTGTCCCAGAATATAAAAACATTCTTAACACTATGATAGTGTTAAAAACGTTCTTATATTTTGGGATGAAGGGAGTATGAGATAGTTATTCAATTATTTTTCTTTGACTTCACTCGCCTTTCTGTCCATTAATTCTTCAACCAACAACTTATAAACTTATCTTTCTCTGCAGCGAGTGTATATATGTCCATGTGGTGGAACCGGCCCACCAAAGTTCAAGTCTTAGACTTGATAGTGGTTTTTGTGTTTTTTTAGTCTTTCCGACGATGTTCGTTCAGTGAGAGAAGCCATTTTCCTTGACTATGAAGACGTCTGCGGCGACTTCTTCAGTCTACGGATGTTGTGATGGCTTAGTATCTCGAAGATGCTTATAGGGGTATGATGTGTGTGCATGCGTTTATAGAGGTGAGTGTATGTGGGCGTCGATGATTGTATTGTGTTAAAAAAAATTAAGAATGAACTTTTCGGCAAAAAAACTAAGATTGAACTAATTTTTAACCGATTTTTGTAAAGGTATTTATGTAAATCTGAATAAATATTCACTATGTGACAAACATATTCATCAAATAAATATGTGTAATACTGACTAAATTCTCAGTCAATTTTATGAATATCTTCATACAGATCTAAAGGAATGTTCATCATGATTCAATAATTTGTTTCATCTAGTGCAAAAAAATTATAGGTTTTGTTCTCGTAGTTTAGAAAAAATAGGAAATATTACGTGGGTCTCAAGGTCAAATCGATTGTCCTCGGCGTTGGCTGAGTTTTAGGGAGTGTTTGGTTTCAGAGACTTTTTTGTGTTGGGACCAGAAAAAGTCCTTAGCAAACCAAAACTATATGATGAAATATCTTGAATTGCAAGCTGCACATCCAGACAATCTGTATATGTCGGGAAAACTTCATGATGAAATATCTTGAATTGCAAGCTGCACATTTTTTGTTGTCGATTTTCAGAGTGAACAATGCATGTGCTAAAAAGCCCCAATTTTTTTTCAGAGCGTATATGCATTTTTTTCAGAATTTTTTGAAACACAAAAGTATGATTTTTGAATTGTTCAAAAGTTCGGGATCCATGGAAAGCCTGAGTTCCGTTAATCATTATCGCTCAACAATAGCATACACTATTTTGTTGCAGCATAATATTTTATAAGTCCCTGAATCAAGATGGAGTGGTATCTTATCGAGTGGGGCGTTTTGGTGATTGGAAAATTCAAAATTAAAAAAATCGGTTTCAAAAAATGTGGAATAATGCAAGTATACAATGATAAAATGTACATGTGCAAAAATGCAGGATGAAATGTGACCTGTAAAAAAATAAATTCATGGACTTTAAGGATGAATAGTACCCTGTGCTGGAAAGCCCCATTTTTTTTTTCACAGCCCTCATTTCAACACATTTCGTCCTTGAAATTTACACACGTGCACATTATGCTTCCGTGTATATCTGCATTTTTTCAGATTTTTTGAAACGTAAAAACATGAATATTGGTGAATTTAAATTTTGCAAATGGAGGTCTCATGGAGCTCGGCCTCCAAAAGCAATTTTCGTATCTTATCCGGCTATAATGTCTAGATAAAAAAGATGCAGTAGTACACATGCTGCCAAAATATGCTTCGCTTTTGCTCTTGTTTTACAAGACGAGAGCTCTAGTTTTCAGCATGGAGGCGTGCCGGGCCGTCGGGGTACGTAGCCGTAGCAAAGCCAGGACACGTATGGTAGGAGCACGTAGCATCACAGGAACTGTACTGTACTGACCATCCCTGCCCCCTGCCGCTCCGTCTTAAATGCAAACACATCTAACCTTCACCGCCCACTTGAATGCCCTCGCGACGTCTCCTATCATGGCTATCTATAAACGCCGGCCGGCCACACCATGTCTCCTCCTCCTCCTCCTCCTTGTCAAAGCTAGCCAGCAAGAACCAAGAAGAAGCAGAGCAGCTCAGAACCGAGCGCAGAGCGAAGCGGAGCCAAACGAAAGAAGGGACCTAACCTAACCTAGCCAAGCCAGCCGGCGATCGACCGAGAGATGGCGCGGTGGTGTCAGCTGGCGGCGGTGCTGCTCGCCGTGTCGATGGCGGCGTCGACGTCGGTGGCGCAGGACGCGCTGCAGACCAAGTGCCAGGGGGACCTGCAGAAGCTGTCGGACTGCATGGACTACGCGACGGGGCACGAGGAAACGCCGTCGGCCAAGTGCTGCGAGGACACGGCGGACACGCAGAAGGCGCGGCCCGAGTGCCTCTGCTCCATCATCCAGCAGGTGCACAGCGGCAGCCACGGCGTGCAGCAGCTCGGCCTCCGCTTCGACCGCCTCCTGGCCCAGCCCGCAGCCTGCAAGCTCACCTACGCCAACGTCTCCCTCTGCATCAGTGAGTACCTAGCCCAGCTAGCTAGTCACACGGCACCTAGCTCCGATTGGCCTCTCCGTGTTTGATTACTTCATTTGTTTGCCTTGTTAGTTCTGCTGTTCATGCGTTTGAATCTCGAGATCTCATCACTCACAATATACAGTACTCGATAGTAACTTGATTAATTAGTTAGCCATAGGTTCTTATAAGGAAGTAAAAACAGGTAAAAGCACAGGAAAGGGAAAAAGATAGTATTAATTCTACAGTTTTGTTAGTACACACTAGATGCAGAGGCTGAGGACGTTCCCCTCTTTTCTTGAGAAAAAGAAACAGTTCTGTTACACACTTTTCGTGTTTTGATGCTGATAGGGTGGTTAGTGTGGAGGTAGTCGTATCCTAGCTCATCATGGATCAAACCTCGAGCTTGCGAATAACTTCTTAAGGCAACTCCAACGCAGGGCGCTTGGGGAGGCGCCGGGATTTCTTTCCTATCGATATCCCAATCGATTGGCAGTTGGAGCCGTCAAAAAGATGCGTCAGATGACTAAATCTTCAGTTAATGTTTTGTGTAAACATGCAATATATTATGGTCTACGTGAGCACGTGCGTGATAGTGTCTACCTTGTATTCGATGGTTTTTTAAACAAGTAGAGACCCTTGGTGTCTGGTCAATCTGGTGAAATGAGGATATGGTACCGTTTTGAGGCTTGTTTGATTCATAGGAAAAGTAAAGAAAATGTGTAGGAATAGGAAAAAAATATTTGCAAGCACTATTCATTCCTTTGGTCGAAAGGAACGGAGTTAAGGAAAAGTGGAGGAAAATTGGATTTGATCTCACAATTCACTTGGATCTCTTTTTAGAATTTATAAGTCCAAGGTAAGAGATCGGCGCCTCCTAGTTATACTTTTAGTGTGGTTTGACTTTGATTTCATCATGTATAGTGGAATTCCTGTGTTTTTCTATTCATGTGAATCAAACATGCAAGTCTAGAACTTCTGTGTTTTCACACCTGCATTTCTTATATTTTTGGGTGTTTTCTATCTCTACATATGTTTTTTTAAGACAAATCTCTACATATGTAAAACCCTGCGTTTGCACCAAAACCGCAGCTCATAGCCATGCGTACCTGCTGTGTTGGGCCTAGTAAGCCGAGCACATGCGTGTTAGGCCTTTTTTTTTTGTTTTGAGTGGATCGTCTGTGTTAGGCCTGAGGGCATCTCCAGCCGTTGGCCCCCCGGCAAAAAATCACCCCCTGGAGGCGCACCGGCGCTAAACCGCGCACTGGGGGCGTGATGCCCCCCAGTCGCGGCGCCCACGTTTTTTTAAAAAGTCAAATATGGCGCAAACACGACTCAAATTTAACGCAAACATCGGCGAGTTCGTTCAAATTTAAACATAATTTACAAAAAAAGGAAAAACTACCGCGGGCTACCCCCGCCGTCTCCCTCGCCGCCCGCCCACGCGGTTCTACATGTCGAGGAGGCGGTAGAACCGCGTGTAGTCACCGCCGCCGCCGTCGTCGTCGTCGTCGCTCCTGCCGACGCCTCCGCCGTCCCTGCTGCACCCCTCCCCCGGTTGGCGCGGCGGGTTGGACGGTCCGGGGGAGTCGTCGTCGTCGTCGCTGTCGAGGACCACGACGCCGTGCTCGTCCTCGCGCCCACGCTTGCAGGCGGCGATCTCCTCCAGGGCCCGGCGCTGCCGGACCATCTCGTCGCGGAGGTAGTCGTCCCGCGCCCACCGCAGGGCGTCCTCGTCGGAGAAGCCACGCCGGGCTACCTCCTCGTACTCCGCGGGGAGGCCGGGCTCCGGCTTGGGCTCGACGAGGACGAAGCGGCCGGTGGGGGAGGCGTTGTCGCCAATGCGGACGCCGGAGCTGCGGGTGCGCGCGCTGACAGGCGCGCCCTGGGGCTCCGGCTTGACGGGGCGCAGGTGGAGGCAGGGGGAGCCGCCGGACGAGGAGGAGGACCTCCCGGTCTCCATGCGCCTCGGGGTCCAGGAGCTTCCCCGGCGGCGTGTGAAGGACGGGGGAGCGGGGTACTCGAGGCGCGGCGTGTTGCCGCCCTCGATGTACTCGAGGACGGCCTCCAACGTGCGCCCGGGCACGCCCCACCACCGACGCCGGCCGACGGCGTTGAGCCTGCCGGAGGGCTCGACGCCGTTGGTGGCCTCGAGCTGCTCGGCGTGACGGCGGCGGAAGTAGGGCTCCCAGAGCAGGCTGTCGGGGACGTACCGTGGCCCCTCCCTCGCCGCACGTGGCAGGGACGAGCGGATGCGTGCGACCTCCGCACGCCGCGCCGCGTCGGTGGGTATCGGGGGCACCGGCACGCCGCCGGCGCTGATCCTCCACGCCCCGGGTACCCGCATGTCCGGCGGGACCGGGTACTCGGCCTCGAAAAGGAGGCGAGCCTCGCTCTCGTGAAGATGGCGGCGGCCGAAGCCGTTCGCCGCTGCGCCGTCGCCTGGGAAGCGCTCGGCCATGGGTGCTGGAGACGGCGAGAGAGAGGAGAGGGAGGAACGACGACGGCGAGAGAGAGGAGAGGGAGGAACGACGACGGCGAGAGAGTACGAGTCGCCGAGTGCGCTGGGGCGCGTCTTATATAGGCCGAGGCGCCGCCCGTGCGCGAGCCGCCGTGAGCACGCGTGGCGGGCGAGGGAGGGCGAGGGACGCGCGTCATCTGACCTTCACTGCGCCGCCCGTGAGGCATCAATGGCGCAGGCTGACCGGCGCGGCAGCGCGGCAGCTTTGGCATTGATTCGCCACGGGAAACGAGACGATGAGGATGACGAAGGGGCGAGAAGAGGGTAGAGTCGCTGACGCGGCGGGCCCGCGGCTGTTTCGCGCCAAAACAGTTCGCCGCGGCGCCCCCGGGCGGCCCCAGCGCGCCGGGTTCGGCCTGGGTCCGCCGGCGCTGTTTTCGGCCCAAGCCGGTGAAAATCGGGCTCTTGGGACACGACTGGGCCAATTTTTCGGCGCCGGCGTAAAAAAAACGCTTGGGGGGGCTTTCCTGGGGGCGCGGCTGGAGATGCCCTGAGAAAGCAGGCACCTGTGCATATTGGACCTAGTTGTGGGTGGGAAGGTCATTGACTCGAGTAGAAGATTAAGCCCACTTCTGCGCGAACACACACACACACACAAAGAACTTTCATTTGTCTCAAAAAAAAAGAACTCTCATATTCCCGGTTGTCCTCATATCACAATTGTGATAGAAATAAATAGGATCAGAATATTCTAGCTATGATTTTATTTTCGAAGGTCGAGCTTCGAACCAGGAGGCGCACAATCTTGTAAAATTTCTTTTCTCGCTTCCTCAGGGTTGCCATTTGTGGCTTCTATCTCTTCATGACCCCTTTTGTATCCCGTTGAATATTTCTTTAAGTTAATGTAAGTGTGAGATCCCTCAAAAAAAAATCTTGTTTATAAGCACAGAAGTTTCCTAAAAAAAACCACTTCTCAGTGAGTCAGAGTGCTTAAGATTACTTGCTTTCTTTTGTTATACGGAGTATATTATATGTTACACTTCTGCAAATATTTTATTGATGCTGAACCAGGAGTATTCATTCTCATACACAACTAAATTAATCTAGATAATTGTTGATACTCAAGTTTGACGGTGGTTATTTTTCAACACATTCTAATTGCTGATGATGCACTCCCTTGCTAGACCTGCTGCACCTGACCCCGAGCTCGCCAGACTACGCTCTCTTCGCAAATGCTTCCAAGAGTGAGTTCTCTGAATCCTTTGCCTCGATTTCACAACTATTTCAGAGAACTGAGGTTTGTAGAGAATTTGATACAGAAGGCCTGTTGCTCAGCGATGCGGGGTTGACTAAAACATTTAGTTCTGTGAAACATGTTCTTGAATATGCTGTTGAAATGTAGTAAAAATGAGGTATCCCATTATCTGTCTTTATTTTTGTGAAATTTACTAGTTATTGGAGTATATGATAGGAGTCCCCTCAACAGCTAGTTCTGTGAAATGTTCAAAGATAGTAAAAATGACATGTCCCGCTACCTGTCTGTATTGTTATGAAATTTACTACTCCAGTTATTATCATATGAAAGGAGTCCCCTTAATAGTTGAATATCTGCTAACTCAAGTGTTGTTCTCCCCTGCAGTTACTCCGTCCACTGCCGCACCGGCGAGAGACACCGCCGACGGCTTCAAGGTTTCGCCGGGACTCGGTTACGGCGTCGTGGCAGCGGCCGTCGTCTCTGCTGTCTTCTCATCCATCTTCTGATTTTCGGACAAGCACACGCCCTTTTATCCTCTCCCTTTCTTCTATCTGTCATGTTTGTTTACATAACCCTGCAAGTTCCCACACAACGACGATGCTTTAGATGGTCTATTATCTACTCACGTGGTAAGAGGATTCGTTCGGATGACGTACTGTTGTTTTACCCCAGATAAGAAGATGGAAAGTTGAGACTTGTGTTTCTTCATGTGGAAGTGATGGTTTGCAGTAATATCCCCAAAAATGTGGTTATGTTCTTCTTGTTCTAATTAAAATCTGGTACGCAAATGCCATGTGTTGGTGGCAGATGCTTAACCACAACACAGCTATATCGATTTTTATTTCGTGGATAGATTGTTTAGATAGCCAGGGCTTATACAACGAGCATTTGAACTAGGTTTCGTCTTGCTTTATATATAAAGCAATACCCGCATTATACATGATTAAATGATATAAAATAATGGGAAAGCCCTTTTACAAAATACATCAAAGAATGACCGCATTAGAAAAAAGCATGCACAAAGGCACGAAGGCACAGAGACACAAAAACGACACCAAGAGGCTGCCAAACAAGAGCATAGGACAGCCTGAACACACCACCATGGCCTGACCGATGACGCCTGAGTTCGACGACAACACCCTAAAAGGGTAACGCTACAAAGCGTCGCCGCTGTCGAGACCAAATAGATAAACATGGATTTTCACTTGGAGCCCTATCATTGGGATGAAATCCACAATGACGTCCTTAAGAGGAAGGCAGTACCGCGGGCGTCACCGGCGCCGACGCCAAATCGTGAAGCTTTCCTTAAAACTCACCCACACCACTACGAGGCACCTAGGTCAACGCTACAAAGCTTTCCTTGAAACTCACCCGCGGCACCACGAGACACCTAGGTCATCACCGCGACGATGTCCAACCTACCTGAACCAGGACGCCGCCACTTCACCTGGAATGGAACAAGCCAGGGCCACCCGCCGCTATACCCCTTGCCGCGCACATGGCCAAGACATATAGCCGCCGCCGCCACCACCACCACCATGTATCCCCCCGGAGAGCCGTCTGGGTAGCCCGCCATCCGAGGCCGCCGCCCTGGCAACATATGTCGAACCCCTCACGGGCGCCATAACTGAAGGAAATATGCCCTAGAGGCAATAATAAAGTTATTATTTATATTTCCTTATATCATGATAAATGTTTATTATTCATGCTAGAATTGTATTAACTGGAAACTTAGTACATGTGTGAATACATAGACAAAATGAGTGTCACTAGTATGCCTCTCTTTGACTAGCTCGTTAATTAAAGACGGTTAAGTTTCCTAGTCATGGACAAGAGTTGTCATTTGATGAACGGGATCACATCATTAGAGAATGATGTGATTGACTTGACCCATCCGTTAGCTTAGCACTTTGATCGTTTAGTTTACTGGTATTGCTTTCTCCATAACTTATACATGTCTCTATGACTATGAGATTATGCAACTCCCGAATACCGGAGGAACACTTAGTGTGCTATCAAACGTCACAGCGTAACTGGGTGACTATAAAGATGCTCTACAGGTGTCTCCGATGATGTTTGTTGAGTTGGCATAGATCGAGATTATGATTTGTCACTCCATGTATCGGAGAGGTATCTCTGGGCCCTCTCGGTAATGCACATCACTATAAGCCTTGCAAGCAATGTGACTAATGAGTTAGTTAAGGGATGTTACATTACAGAACGAGTAAAGAGACTTGCCGGTAATGAGATTGAACTAGGTACTGAGATACCGACGATCGGATCTCGGGCAAGTAACATACCGATGACAAAGGAAACAACGTATGTTGTTATGCGGTTTGACCGATAAAGATCTTCATAGAATATGTAGGAACCAATATGAGCATCTAGGTTCCGCTATTGGTTATTGACCGGAGATGAGTCTCGATCATGTCTACATAGTTCTCGAACTCGTAGGGTCCGCACGCTTAACGTTCGGTGACGATCGGTATTATGAGTTTATGTGTTTTGATGTACCGAAGGTAGTTAGGTGTCACGCCCACGATGCGGCTATATCTCCCACGTATCGAGGCACGACTTAGAGGCATAACCGCATGATGGTTTAGTCGCAAGTGGGGTAATCTTCACACAATCCCATGTACTGAATAAGAAAGGGATAAAGAGTTGGCTTACAATCGCCACTTCACACAATACATAAAATAATTCCTACATCATCCAAATACACTCAAAGACCGACTATGGTCAAAACCCAAAAGAAAAGCAAGATAAACCCCAAATGCTAGGTCCCCGATCGTCCCAACTGGGCTCCGCTACTGATCAACCGGAAAAGACACAAAACAACGATCAAGATCTTCTTCGAGCTCCCACTTGAGCTCGGTTGCGTCACCAGCACTGGTATCATCGGCACCTGCAACTGTTTAGAAGTATCTATGAGTCACGAGGACTCAGCAATCTCACACCCGCGAGATCAAGACTATCTGGGTAGGGTAAGGTAATGAGATGGAGCTGCAACAAGCACTAAGCATATATGGTGGCTAACCTATGCAAATAAGAGCGAGAAGAGAAGTAACACAATGGTCGACAAGTTAGAAATGATCAAGAAGTGATCCTGAAACTACTTACGTTCAAATGTAACACAAGAACCGTGTTCGCTTCCCGGACTCCGCCGAAAAGAGACCATCACGGCTACACACGCGGTTGATGCATTTTAATTAAGTTAAGTGTCAAGTTATCTACAACCGGATATTAACAAATTCCCATCTGCCACATAACCGCGTGCACGACTCTCGAAAGTTTAAACCCCGCAGGGGTGTCCCAACTTAGCCCATCACAAGCTCTCACGGTCAACGAATGATATTCCTTCTCCCGAAAAGACCCGATCAGTCTCGGAATCACGGTTACAAGACATTTCGACAATGGTAAAACAAGACCAGCAAAGCCGCCCGATGTGCCGACAAATCCCGATAGGATTCGCACGTATCTCGTTCTCAGGGCACACCGGATTAACAGTACGTACGGCAACCGACGATACCCCAAGTTGCCTAGGGGCGACACCGCAAGTGTCTCTGTTTTGGACCAACACTCAGAGTAGCACTGGCCTGGGGATTAAAATAAAGATGACCCTTGAGTCGCATGTTTCATTTGGATGCATGCATATTTAGTTATTAGCAATGCAAAATAAAGGCATTTTCTGCAATTATGCAATAACTGGAAAAAAAATAACTAAATGCACATGCAGAAGAAAAAAAACATGCACGAGCCTGAAGCATCACGGTGCAGCGGCCCAGCAGTGAATGCGGCCTAAGTGGGTGTTCGCGCAATTGGTAAAAAAAGGCCTAGGTGGAAAAGAATTGAGTCTCCATGGGATTCGATCCCACAACCTCCTAGTTCAAAACAAGGGTGCTAGCCACTGCTGTAGCCTAGTGTTTTGTGATACAAAAGGTGGTCGGCTTTAGATGAAGCTGCTCCTCTGTGGTTGGGAAAAGAACAGTAGCCAAAGAACCAAACAAAGAAAAAAGGTTACCATCCTGGGATTCGAACCCCAGATCCACTAGATATGCCCAGAGTGCGCTAACCACTGCGCTGTGTTAGTGGTATATGTGGGCTCATAGAGCCAGATGGTCTACTTCAGGAATGCTCGAGCTTGGAGCCATGGCTCACAGTGACGCTTGGTGAGGCCGCCGGCGAGTGAGGCTACAGGGACAGAGACTGCAAAGCGCCGGCGGGGGTGCGGAAAGGCAAAGGAAACTCAGTTGGGGGCGCTGTGAGGAGCAACGACGCAAGGGTGTGGGTGTGGATGCGCAAGGCGGGGCTCGCGCAAGGTTGAACGTGGCTGGCCATGGCTTCGGCCATGGTTGCCGGCTGGATCAGGGACGAAGCGCCTGGTGCGTGAGCTTGGCGCACGCGGGAGGAGAGAGGGTATGACTACTGGGTTGCAGGTGTTGTGACTTGTGAGTGTGTGAGCGGCGACTAGAGCAGGGGCACGAGCACAAGCTCGAATCGTCCATGGCGAACGAACTCGGGGCGAATGGATCGGCGACTACGAGGCAGAAAACTACAGGGAAAGAAGTTGGGGGAGGTGTGGATTATCACCATGAGGCTGTTGGAGTCGGAGATGTCGTCGGGGAAGAAACGGAGACGACGTAACGAGGCATAGACCGACATTGTCCGTGAAGAAGAGGTAGCAGAGGAAGAAGAT